CGGCCGGACCACGAAGCGCGTGTTGTAGCAGCGGGAGCGGGCAGAGGAATGGGAGGGCCGTTTTAACCAGCTCTTAATTACCGCGCACTTAGGCCCCTGCCCTGCTCTAGGCGCGGCTAGTTTGCCGGGCCGAGGACGTAATTGCTGGCCGTGCCTGCCGGCGGCGGGTCCGGCCGTCAGGGGCGTAGGCGCGGCCACCGGCAGGAACTGCTGGGCGCCAGCCCAAAAGGGGCCTCCCTCATTATGCAGAGTTAAAACACGCCGTGTGTGTGTGTTAAAGTGTGCTGGTGTGTATGTGTGTGCGGTGTGCGTGCGTGTGAGCGAGTTCGTGCGATGATTATAGGTTTCAACAGCTGATGGGTGCCGGTGCCGGCCGGTGCTGCCGTCGAGGTTCAATGATCGTGTGTTGCCTATCCGGAACCCGCACGACAGCCCTGGCGCTGACCGGGCGCTATATAGGCAGAGGGACACGTACGTCCACCTCATTCGCTCACGTCCCTCCGCCCTGCCCTGTCCCGTCCCTCCTCACCCCCACCTACCCCTGCCCACTCCGCCCTCCGCCCTGCCTGCTGACTCCGACATTTCCCAGTACGCCCCGGTTTGGTGTGTGTGTGTGTGTGTGCGTGCAGCTGAACGGTGCGGCTGCCGAGCAATTTCTTTTTTCCTTTTTTGTTTTTGGCTCGTCGTCCTTGACGCGGTTCAGAGGGCTGGGCAGGGCCCGTCCGCGGCTCGGCACGCCATGTAGAACCTCTAAGGTCGCCGAAGGGCAGGTTGACGACCTGGGCTGTCCTGTCAACCTCCGGCGGGGGCGCCCTCCTAGGCCTAGGCGGGCCGGTGCGCCCGTGGCCTTGCCGCGGCGATCATGCCTTGCGCCTCCCCCGGGGCCATCCCCCCTTCTTCAGCTATGCGCCACGGCTATGTCTCCCCCGTGTGAAGGCGTAGGAGCCGCCGCCCCGCCCTCTCGTTGAACCGCCGGCCTGGCGCCTGGCGTGCGCGCCGCGCGCGGGGCCTTCCGTGCTGGACGCTGCGGCCCGTCCCCGGCCAGTGACCCCGCGGCGCGGCCCGCTACGACCAGCCGCGTGGACGTGGTCCTCCCCCGCGCCCGGACCGGCAGGGCCGGGGTGTCATTCCCTCGACCTTGCATGTCAGAGGAGTAGCCGGCCCGGCCGGCCCCGCGCGCGTCCTCTCTGCGCGGGCTGCGCGGGCTGCGCGGGCCCAGGTCGGCTCCGGTCCGATGCCATCGACCCGCGGTGGCTCCACCACGCTCAGCGCGGCCGCGGGCGCGGGGCTTAAACCCGAGCCGAGGTGTGAAGGCGACCGACCCGGTGTCGTTCATTATGAATCGTAAGGGCCGCGCCCGGCCGCGCCTCGCCCGCGGATACGAGACCTCGAAATACCCAGCAGCGGCGCCCATAGGCATTATGTTGTCGTTTCCTTTTCCCGCTAGCAGCAAGGGGGAATAATGGAAACGTGTTGTCGTCACGTGACGCTGGTGGGGCGGCGCGGGGGCGGCGCGGGGGCGGCACTGCAGGGCGCGGCGGTGGTGGTGTCGCTATGGCGGTGGGGTGGGGTGGCGGCGGGCGCCAGGCGTGGCGTTCAACAGGCTGCACTTTCTGATGACGGCGGTGCTGTGGCGGCGCGCTGGCGGATGCAGCGCGGCAGGGCAGAGGAGCAAATGCCGCACTTTAAAGCTGCGCCATCAACCTGAACTGTATGGGGAAAAAAATAGTTCTAAACTAAAACAACAGTAAATTTAAAGACTTCTGACAGTTTTGGGTTTCCCAACCCAACAATATGTTGCAACTAACTTACTACTCTCGTTCGTTTTGGGGGATTGGGCGAGGATTCCTCCTTACCCAAAGAGGCCAGCTGACTTGAAAGTAACAGAAATTTTCGATCGGGGAACCATCGTTTATTTTTCCGTCACTATACACCTCTACCGCACAATCGGCACGCCCCGACGCGCCCCGCCCCGCGCAACCTTGTTTGTGTTTGGGGAGAGACGAGAGAGGGCCGAGGGCCGCAGTCAAGCTCACATCGATCTGTCGTACCGCCGCCCACCCTCCCCGCTCATTAAACAACCAATATGGCGCGGGGCTGGCGGGGCGGCCGCCATGGGGTCGCTGGCTTCGCCGGCCGCAAGCCAAAATCTGCGTGGCGATAATAGGCCTGCCCGTCACCAGGCCGCGCCTCGGGCTTGGCGGCGGCGGGGAGGCCTGCGGGGCGGTTTAGTCGTGACGTCAATTTGACATGATTGAGTTACAATATTTTTTATTTATTTTTTTTATAGCCCCTTTGTCCCTCGGGCCTTGTCGCGTTTGGACACGAAAAAAATGAAAATGGAGATGAAAAGAGTTTTGACGCGAGCCGGGCGCCGCGGCTCATCTTTGACCTCTGTACGCGGGGTGCCCGCTGGTGCCGCGAGAGGTCAGAGAGTCGTGCCCGCCTCGCGCTGCACCGCGGGGCGGTGTTAGGTGAGGTGGAGATATCTTTCTCTACCGTGGCAGGCCATGAGGCAGGCTCTGACCAAGCTCCTTCTTATCCCCGTCAGCCAGGAGGGCCGAGCCCAGCGGCATCCCTTCTGTCCCCGCGCGCTCACGTCCTACATGCGGGCCGGGCCGACGGCGGCGGCAGGGTGAAGTGTAGCGGGAGGGGTTTCTGACTGAGTCAAGTCGCTGTTATTTAATAAACCGCGGAGGGGACCTTGAGGAGCAACACCGGCTCCGGTGCGTTGCGGTGCGCAGGGAGTGCGGCCAAGTGGGGGGTGGGAGAGGGGGAGGGGGCTGGCCCGGGCGATCGATACCGCTCTATCGGAGCGCCAAATGAATGCTTTCATTTCGTTGCCTCTCTCTTTTTCGTTGTCCATTTCATTTCTCCTTTTTGTGGCAAGCGCACGGGGTGGGGCGGGGCGCGTCGGGGCAGAGAGTCGGTGCGGGGCGGTGCTCGCGGGGCCGCGCGCTCCCCCTGTCATTTCGTGTCTATCTCCTCCCCTTGTGAAGGGCGCCCGCCCGCGCGCGGCCCACAATGCCGCTCAATGACGTACAACTTCAGTCGCTTCTCATTGAGGCGCCGCGCCCTTTGACCGGCGAAAGAAAAGGGCCGGGCGCCGCTCAAGTGGTCCGGGCCAGCCCGAGGCCGGGCAAGAGGCGCTGCTGGCCAGGCCAGGCCAGTCCGCCTGGACCTGCGGGGGCAAAGGGGGGCGGGGGTGGCTCTGGGGGACCACCGGGGGCGGCGGCGGCGGCGGCCTGGGGGGTGGCTAGAGAGACCCCCCGTGACAACCCTAACAAGGTGAGCGTCGCCACCCCCCCGTAACGCCGCGTGACCCAGATCCGACAACCAGGAGCCTCTCCAGCCGCCTCCTCCAGCCGGCGCCTCCACTCGCCGCCTCCTCGGCTCCCTGCTCCGCCACCGACTACGACATGATGACCGGGGGCGCATGTGACCGCAATGAGGGCCTATACACATCGCTGGTGTGTGCGTGCAGCTGAACGGTGCGGCTGCCGAGCAATTTCTTTTTTCCTTTTTTGTTTTTGGCCCGTCGTCCTTGACGCGGTTCAGAGGGCTGGGCAGGGCCCGTCCGCGGCTCGGCACGCCATGTAGAACCTCTAAGGTCGCCGAAGGGCAGGTTGAC